GAGGCTCCTCCCCCTCGCCGATAACAGATGTAAGGGTATGCTCTACAGATGGACGAACTTCAGGCTCCTTTATCTCATCCGCTCGTTCCTCATCACTTGTCGATTCCAGCTCTCTCATAGGCGATGGCGGTGAGAGCGTATAAGTCTGGTTGCGATTCAACAGTGGCCCTAGATTAGGAATGAACAAGGAATTTTGAACATTCGTGAGGGTAGATAAGGCCGACACTTCCGGATCTGGAATATATTAGGCTGCTATACCACGAAACCATTTGGTATGGTGGATAACTTACCGATGACGTCCAGGACATCAACAATATGAGAGCGATATTCGTCGTCCACCTCATGGTTTTGAGCCGGAGCACTTCCACTGACCGTCGACGCGCGATTGCGCGTGAACCGGTTTCCACCCACTCCACTTGCCCATCGCATGGGGGTTCGACTCCCCCGTCTCGGTATCTCTGGTAGCGGAGGGACATCCTCCGGCATACGCTGGTTTGACGTGGAGGAAACGATCGGGCTCGACGCCTCCTCTTGTACCGGGCGCATCTGGCCGCCCGTGGTCACCCGTGCCAGAGCAGCCGGGTTGGGCGTAGACCATCGCCCAGGTCGGGGCTCCGAGTTGCTGCGACGGCGGTTGCCCTGCCATGACTCGTCTTCAGCGGAAGCTGCTGGGATAGAAGGAAGAGGGGACAGAGCGACTCCAGGAGTTCTGCTGGTATCGCCATTTTGTTGCGATGGCTGTGACCGGGGCGTGGACAAAGTCGCCTGTTCAAACGAGGGCAGGCGTTGGAGGCGAATGGACGGGCGGCGAGAACGCAGCGAGGCCGCACGTTGTCGGGGGTATGACGTCGGTCCGGGGGAGGGCGTGGCCGACGGTGGCTGGCCTTCGTGGGGATCGGGCGAGCCGTTGACGGGCTCGATGGGGTCCATTGAAGACGGCGTGCACGAAGAATCTCACATGGACGATGTGGTTTCACGAAAGGAGGGGAAGGAAAGGAAAGGTAAAAATATTCAAGAGGCGAAGGATGGAAAGTGAAAACGAAAGGGGCCGCAAAGGCTAATTTATTCATTGGAGGATGGGATTTGCTGCCAGGAAAGGAAGCTGCCGTGGTTACGTCGTGACTAAGCCAGTCAGCATCACCACCTTCCTTAGTTAACTGACTAGTAGTTAGTTTCCAAGTGGATTCGTCGATCCTCCAAGGCTTGTCGGGGGTCTTTCTTGTTCCTCCAGTGGATGAAACTTGCAGCTGTGCGCTGTTCTTTCACATCTTGGTTTATGCATCGGTGTATATAATAACCTGAAAATCTATTCTGTGAGCTGCAATCCTCTGAAGCACAAAGATAATAAATTAGTCAGTTCACCAACTTGGCACCGTCCAGTCCAACTGCGGTCTAGCCCCCCGTGGACTGCCTTGGGCAACAACCGTGCGTCTCCCATTGCTGGATCCCCAATCGTCAACACTTTGGGCCTTCTCGTAATCCTCCACTACTGAATCACAAAGAATTTCCATAATCTGGCCTTGTTGCAACAGTATTGATGCTATACACAAATCGTATATTCATTCAATTCTCTACCCTTGCAATAGCCTTCAATCCTCAGTTATCAACAGAGGCTTAATCTGACTCGACAAAAATATATACATCCCCACCCAAAAGACCCCGGCTCCGCTTAGTGCCCAACCATAGCCTGTTGACGCTCATTATATCTATTTCCCTGCGGCTTGGCGGCTTCAATGATCTTGCGCATCTCGGCTTTCTCCTCATCGGTCAAGTCGATCTCCCGAGAAGCCCAGTTTTGCTCCAACCGGTGCGCCTTGGTTGTGCCGGGAATGGCAATCATGCCTTGAGCAGCAACCCACGCCAGGGCCACTTGGCTGATCGAACAGCCTCTCTTGCTTGCGATTTTCTTGATCTCATCCACGATCTTCTTGTTGGCGTAGAAGTTTTCACCTTGGAACTTGGGGGCTATCCACGTTTAGTAGGCATAACTAAGAATTAATTCTGAATGGGCAAGGCAACTTACAACCGCGACGGAAATCGTCAGGCGCAAAGTCTTCGGGCGTCTTGAAGGGAAAGTCGTCCACAAGCCAGCCGTGTCCTAGAGGACTGTAGGCCACATAGGCCACTCCCAGCTCCTTGGCGGTGTCGATCAGACCGTCCGTCTCGTGCAGGGTCTCAAAGGCTGAGTATTCGGCCTGCACGGCGTCGATTTTGGCAACTGGGAATGTTAGGCATTGAGTAGTTATAAAGTCCAGACAGTAATACTTACTCGAGTTGGCTTTACGCAGCGTTGCAGCGGAGCATTCTGAAAGACCGATGTACTTGGTCTTGCCTGCCTTGCGGATCTCATCCAGAGCTGGGATGGACTCCTCAAGAGGGGTGTCTGTCTTGAGTCAGCCAGCCTGAAAGAGTACGTGAGTGTATAATACGTACTAGGATCGATACGGTGGAGGTAGTATAGGTCAGGCGTGAAGCCTAGTCGTTGAATAGTTCCTTCAATGTATTCCTTGATATGTGAGGCAGAGTTGGTGACGGTAAAGTTTTCGACTTTAAATCCGCACTTCGAGGCAACTGCATCGGTCAGTACTTAATTATATCACTGGGTGACACATGTACATACTGAAAATCTTGTCGCGCACATTGTGCTTGCGAATGAAATCTCCCAAAAGTTTTTCGTTCACACCCGCTTGGTAAATAACCTGAGTCCAATGGGTTAGGCTTTCACATCTTACGTAAGGATTTGATGGGCTAAACTCACAGCAGTATCCCAGAAAGTGCAGCCAAGCTCGATAGCTTTCAGCAGAACGGGCTCTGCTTCTTCAAGACTGAGGTTGTAGCCCAAGCCGAAGCTGAGGCCCATGGCACCGAAGCCAGGCGACGGAACCTGAATGTCTTGGAAGGGAAGTGTCTTGACCATTTTGACGAAGGATGTTGGTAGTGTTGAATGCTATAATCTTGTGTGGATCTTGAGAATCTGTTAATGTTAAGCAGGTAGGACTGGAAGCAGTTCTTATAGGAACAGCTGTAGGGTCATGACATCGCCCATGGCTCTGCTTCCGGGTGGATCCTGGACAGTCCGGCACGGGCTCGGAATGGACCCTTTCTCTTGCCGAGTATCCATTGTAGCAATTGATTCGCAGCTTGGGATTCGAGTTTCCACTGTTTTGTGAAGTTGTAACTTCTTGCCTCCAGTGTAGATACTATGGTACCACAGATCGCCTATGCGGGCAGCTTACACGCTAGCCGCGGGGAGTATCAAGTTGATGACCGCTTAACTCCCCCAAAATCCGGTAAGTCCGACAGAACCGAGGATCTGTCCATATTTTGTTAGGAGAGTGAACCACCACCTTAAAATCATGATGGAGATTATGGAACTGAAACATATCTCAAAAGCATGCTAAACCTCTTTCTGGTTCAGCGCATATGCAAGGGTCAGCATTTAGTTCCCACTCTAGTGCCGATGCGGGGTCCAGTTCTGTTCTCATCCACTAATGTTAGAGTGGCAACTCTCGTTCCCGCCGGAGATATAAGGAAGTGCTATAGTTCTGACTGCAATTTTGCGAATACATAGTCAGCCAGCCGCCCTATGACGATTGTAGATAACTCTGAGTATCCTATGAGGGCTTCAGCTTACCAGGCCGTGATTCTTTCTGTATGCATTGAATTTGGAACGTTCGACTAAAGCGTCTGAGAAGAACAATACTCCGCCAGCACTTATCGGTGGTGGATGTCAGGACTCAGGTTCATGCTCTGAACCCAGCCAAAAGTGTATCCGGTGACCGAAGAAGGGCTTCATATATTCTCGAAAGAGCCGAGTGGTGCACTTGGAAGTTATATTATCCTTCATCAGTGAGTCATCCATCTTGATCAGAGATTATGCATAGAACAGCATCCCACCCATGTTCTGCAGTGTACTATGTGCTGTCAACATATGATGTGGCCACCTAATCCTTCAAGGGCGCGCACATAATAGAACCTCATAAGCTGAGTAGTTCTCGCTGTGTTTCAATCAATGTCCACAGCGTTGAGCAGGAAATTCTGCTTGTTGCAGGGGCTGAGATTCCATAATCAATTGGTCTAATAGCGATGCGGAATCGTGTGCTGTCTCCTCGGAGTTGCCTTTGTTGGAACGAGATTTGAAGAAAAGTGAGTGATTGAAGAGATCACTTGCTCAACTATCCTCCAGAGTGCGCTGCGGCCAGCCGTGACTTTTCTTGGGCACGTTGTAAGGCACGCAGGGCCGGCCAGAGTTCTAAATCGGTTTTGGTAGTGAAATGATCTGTATACTTACAGTTGAAAATTTACATTCGCTTTTTCTTATCAGACGCGGCGTGTTCCTATCGGAGATTAAGACAAGACCAGCACCCAAGGGCCTGTCTTCGTTCATTGGCTCTATGGTACCAGACAGGGTTTGTGACATCGTCCGTTGCAAGTTCAGCATTGCATATCTAGTGCATAAGGAGGTTCTAGTGGACAACGCACAGCTCCGATAGCCGAAGACATCCTCATAACCAGACTAAATCTAGGGTCTGTCGCACTGCTATCTGTCACCTAACCACTTGAATTGTACGACCTTCTACTCTATATCAGAAATAATCTGTCGCAGTTCACTGGTCTTCTCTGCCTCTGCAGGGTACTTACAATACTGTCTTTCCTAGAAGCACCCACTAACAATCAGTTGTTATTGTCCAGCACCAGAATTCTCTTTTTTTCCCCAACATCCACAGTAACTCGTTCAATTCTTGACGAAGAATATATATGTTTATGAGCGAAAATACGTGGACATGTTTCCTCGGCTTTCATCGAAGGTGCTCTTGTTATAGGGGTACTATAGTGCCCAAGTTGGGAAGATTGGGCAGTAGTAAAATTACACTGTCATCAGTGAAGATGTATAGATGTTCTATTAATATGTCCAGGTAGACCGACCCACACTCAGTCTCGTAAAGGACAAAAAGAAAATACTATCGACGCCAACGAAAGAAACAACGGCAGAAGCAAATATGCGGACAGCTGCCGATAAGCACGCTATCTTGAACGCTAACCTAACTACAGAGTACAAGTAACTAGGTGATAGGTTATCGGAAAGGAAGATCCTTGAGTTTATTTCTACGATATGCTTCTTTTGCTACCAGCTACTGCAATTTCCAGCGATGTGGTAATCATTAAGGGACCAGGTATTGAATGGTTTGGCTCTTACCCGTGCAAGGAAGTATAAGACTGCAGTGTAACTGGGACGTTATGATATAGAAATGAGATATTACTACCGGATTTGTTGAAAGGATCCGAACAGTGAGAGGGGTAAAGAGGGGAAATTGAAACTAAAAGTTGCATGTGGACAGGCAGTACCAAATAATTTGCCCAAACATGCTGACAAGTGAAGAGGTTAATGCCAAAAAAAAATTTTAATTAGTATGGTGATATGATAAGTCAAAACAAATAACCATCAAAGATAGGATACTCAGTGTTGATGTATGTTCGCATGGCGCGCAAAAATATATATCCCCTACTGTTCAAAACACAGGTCGCTAATACTTCGAAGCCAATAATGGAACTTCCCGGGCAGTTGCAGGTAGAACATCATGGGGGAATTGTTTGGGATTGGGCGGGAGTCGGGCGATTTCGTGGAACGGAAATAGATTGGTTGAAGGGTGATTGACGGGGTGCGTCATGTGCTTGATGTCTCGGCTGCAGGGGGGAAAATCGGGTTTGCAGGATGCATACAGGAGTGACAGACGACACTCTGCAGTTGATTGATCGAGCCTTTCCCAGACCCCATGTTTGAGCTACAAGAAAAAGAAAATGGGTGGTGACAGTCAAGGAATTGAAGCCTCAATTGGGCGAAATATTGCCGGTACTACTACGACCATCATCAACAAACAGGGGGGAGCAACTAATTGGGACGAAGGGGGAACTGCCGGGTGGAAATGGATGGAGTGGCGATGACGGGAGAGGGCGATCTGGCCAGATACAAGTTGGTTGGCAAGTGGGGATGGGGCTCGCGGGCAGCCTGACTAATGCTCATGATGAATTGGCGACTGCAGGTCAATTAGCTAGTCAGTAATGATACCATTGTGTTGTAAATTTGAGGAGGTGTATTCCCTACAAATCATTGTCATTGTTTTGTTTTTTTTTGGGAGTGTAGTATTTCACGTGGGAGGGGGTTTTCAGAATGGCTCTGATTTGGGAAGCAACAATGTTTCTCCCCAACAACCACTAGTGTTAATCGAAGAAGGTTCATGAAGGAGTGAGTCAACAACCGGTGATGTCAGATCCCCTGCAAAGGGCTCCAGCTGCTCCATCGCGTCTAAACTGCTCCAGGGAAGGTGCCTGAGGGCCGCCCAGACCGCCGGACGGAAAGTCCACGTCGGGCACCCCAATACAGTCTAGCGTCGTACGGAACTGGTACGGCTGGCCAGCTCCAAGGCATCTTCAGGCAGATCTGGGCTGATCCAGGCATCTTCAGGCAGAAACCTGCCCCCTTCGGCATAGGCCCGCCACCGCCCTCGCTGCCTGCCCTTTTTCTCTCACCTTCTCCTTTCCCCCCCCCGTCGACTTCATCCTTCCTCTCAAGGTAAATCTTCATCAATTTCAATACCAGATTTCCCCCAAGTCAACTCTCGTATCTAGGGCACCAAGCTACCCTTTTCCTCCTATCTCCCCCCCTCTTCAAGCTATTCCCATTCCCACTTGCTTCAAGGAATTTCAAGTACAGGCAGCCTTTAGCTACTCCTGAGTCCTTGTCTTAACCGCACACAAACCCGGTCAAGACTTCCCCGCGCGCAACTCAAACCACCGTTCAATTCTCTCCACGCTCAACTCCGTTGCGTCCTCAGCCATCAAGATGTCTACTGCCGTCGAGAACACTACCGACAACGTCGCCTCTGCTCCCGCCACTACCGCCCCCGAGGCTACTACCAACGGCACTGCTCCCGCCCCTGCGCAGTCCACGGACGCTGCCGCTGCCAGTGCCGATGAAGGACGTCGGTTGTACATTGGGAACCTCGCTTATGCGACCACTGAGGGGGAGCTGAAGGAGTTTTTCAAGAACTACAAGATGTAAGTCTTTCGAGTTGCTTTGCTTTGTTATTGTTCCACCTGGCCTTTCACCTCCCGGTTGGTCTAAGCTCCGTTGGGCTGGTCCAAGCGATTCGGGGGGCCGGCGAGAGCCACGTTTCCTACACCCCTTGCTGCCATCCGACGGTAATACCGCGCAGCAGTGGTATGTGACTACTACTGCAGGCACGCCAATTCTTCAGAGCTCCATCTCTGAAACCCCCTTGATTACCTACATTCTTATGCGGGAAGTAACACCGAAACTAACAATGGCTCTTTCACAGTGAGAGCGTCTCCATCCCCGTGAACCCTCGCACCAACCGTCCCGTTGGCTACGCCTTCGTGGACCTCGCCACTGCCCAGGAGGCCACCGCTGCTATTGAGGAGCTGTCTGGAAAGGAGATCCTCCAGCGCAAGGTCTCTGTGCAGCTTGCCCGCAAGCCCGAGCCCGCCGAGGCCAAGGCCGAGGGTGCTACAAGTGGCGGTGAGGGTGCCAGCGGTAACGAGGGCCGCAAGAGGGCTGGTGGCCGTGGCCGTGGCCGCGGTCGCGGTCGTGGCCGTGGAGGCCGTCTGCCCCGTGCTGGTCGCTCTGTAAGTGACTCGTCATTTATTCCCCATCCAATTGAATGCTAATATCCCATGTAGCAGGCCCCAGTTCAGAACGGTCAGGAGACTGCTGAGCCCACCAACGTTCCCGGTCAGGCTGCTCCTCTGACTGAGGTCACCAACCAGAACGAGACCGCTGCTGCTGCCGAGTCCAAGCAGGCCGGTAAGCCCCGTGCTCCTCGTCCCCAGAAGCAGCGCGGTCCTCCCGAGGATGGTATTCCTTCCAAGACCAAGGTCATGGTCGCTAACCTTCCTTATGACCTGACCGAAGACAAGGTACGGACGATGAAGTCACAAAACACAGAAACCTGCTAATTCCCCCCCAGCTCAAGGAGATCTTTGCCGACTACCAGCCCGTCTCTGCCAAGATTGCTCTTCGTCCCATTCCCCGTTTCATGATCAAGAAGCTCCAGGCTCGCAACGAGCGCCGTAAGGGCCGTGGTTTCGGTTTCGTCACCCTGGGCTCCGAGGAGCTCCAGAACAAGGCTGTTCAGGAGATGAACGGCAAGGAGATCGAGGGTCGTGAAATCGCCGTCAAGGTCGCCATCGACAGCCCCGGCAAGGAGGACGACGCTGTCGCCCCTGCTGAGGCCGAGACTACTGAGCAGGCGACTGAAACTCCGGCTCAGGAGAACGCTGCTCCCGCTGCTGCTTAAATGACAATCTCGTTCCCCACCTGAACGAACACACCCCCGTGGAAACTCGGGGGATCGATTGGAGGAGGTGAAGTCGGGACCCGTCATCTGCATGGTTTTTCATAGTGGGCGTCGGCAGGAGGCCAATTTCTTTTCCGCATGGGGAGAAAGGCGCAAGAGCAGAAAGGAAAATTTCTAAAGCCGAAAACCTTTGACTATTCTTCCTATTTGATCTGGTCCTAGGGGGTTCTTTATATGTTATATCCGGATACCCGAAAGGGATTCGTTGTTGGAGATGAAAATGCCGTAATGTGATTGTCTGACGGAACCTGACCTTTGCTCACGAATCTTGCCATTCTGCCACACTGTATCTTAGCAATATTTATTTAGCTTATGATTAGCCGCAAGGCTGGCCTTGTAGTATTTGTGCATGTGTTTATCGTAGTATTTTCCACGCCCGTAGTCAGTCATGAATATCCAATCATTCTTCGCTTCATTCTACTTGATAGTTCTCACTAGATACTCTGGATTCTATAGATCTAACTATGCACCGTAGTAACAGAAACATCGCGTATGCCACCTCCCCACATTAAAGTCCTTAGTCACCAGTACGGAGTAATACTAGTATGTAAACCCAGCCTGGATAAGTACCGCCAATGTGGGAGAGGAAAGGAATGTTAATTAATCAATCACACAGCGATCAATACGGAGATTCTCCAGTCCCTATCACTAGTTCAGTTAGTAGCTACTAATATGGCACTGGATTACAATTTACCACATCATTGCAGTCACCAGTACTGCCAGATTTGTGGTTTCCAATGGGTGCAGTAAATGTGATATTACTACAGTTGTGCTTGGAGCTTTGGGTTGATTGGTTGGTTGATTGGCTATAGACGTAGGATTTGGAATTTATTGTATATTATATTGGTTTATTTATTGGTTGGGAAGAAGAAGATCCCCTTTCAATAGCCTGTAGTGGAGAATAGATAGAGACCGCCTGATCGTATGTCTCGTGCGAGGTCCAGCCGTCCCTACTGAGGATGCCGGACATTGCGTCCCAGAAATCCTGAACTTCGTTCCATCCTTCGCTGTCTTGATGGTGTTGGTGGATTTCAGAGGGGGTGAAGGTGATGGGGCATTCTTTTGTGGTGTGTTTTAAGGAAGTCCAGTCTCTTTGGATGTGGTTTAGTCAGTATTGTGTCAGTAGTATGGGGGGATGGCGACACTTACTCCTGGATCTGAATTAATGATTCCCGTAGTGGTAAGATATCTCCATCCCATGTGTTTCCCACGAAGTGGATCGGATGGGTTAATATCTTGCAATTTGGGTATCGGAGGACTTTGTCGAGGAGTGGGTTCTTCTTCGAGGTGTTTTTCTCGTAGAGGTATAGGAGAATTGATTTGGAGATCTGGTCTCGGAGGTCCCGTTGGGTATCTTCATCCAGGTGCTTGAAGTTCTTAGGTGGTTTGAGGATTATCTCTCCGTTGTAGTCAAGAAAATGCGGGTGACGGCCTTCGAGGAATAAAGGGCCTGTCCAGGTGCTTTGCCAGTCGATTATACTGGTGATGTGGCCGGTGTCGTCGACGAAGATGTTGGGGGTGCGGAGGTCGGTGTGCCATAGGAATGACCCTGTGATGTCGTTGTCGTGTGGGATTAGATTGGGAGAGAGGGTTAGGTACTTCTGAAGAAGGGAAAGGTGTTCGGCAGGATTGTTTTGACTAATGGAGGTGAATAAAGGATCGTTTTGGGAGCGAGATTTAGCGTGTTTAGCAATCCAGGACGCTTCTCGATTGGCGAGGGCTTGTATGTAGGCGAGTGCGGAAGTCCCTGCTCCGATGAGTAGGGTAGCTTGGGATAGGAAGGGAGTAGGAGACGTACATGGTCCGCGATCGATATCCATACTTTCTCGTCCATTGCTCCAGAAGGCTGGATCTACAACTGGTCCGATGAAAACTTCTCGGAGATATTCTGCCCGACTTCAGGTGGATAGTTGTCTCCAACGACAATTGCAGGTTGAGATCCAGGGGGCGCGTCTGTCTTATAGAAAATACAACCGTATCTGCTGAAGTTAGAAGCCATACAAAATTAATTCCCTTGACCATATGAACACGGACGCAGAAAACCTTAATGATAGCAGCTTCTGTTGGATGCTCATTATATCCTCCATCGTCTGGACCTTATGCTCAAGGTCCATATCCGTCCAAGCATCTGCAAGGTTGCTTCCCGGCGCATGTTCCATGACGATATACTCGGCCCCTATACTGTTCGTAGAATTAACAGCCGAGTTCCACGCGAGGACTTCGGGAACCGGAATGTGAAGTATGGTCCTCAACTAGAACCCAAGTCAGATAAACAGCATGAAAGGGCACATTAGCAGACCAATAGGTAAAAGCAACTCACAAAATCCATCGTAGCAACCTCAGAAGCAGTCGTCAAATATGCCGGTCCAGCATTCGGATTTGGTATCCGAGCGACAACCGTCTTCCCATTGTCCATGATGAGCTTGAAAGACTTATTATATGACCCTTCCCCTATTTTTGCTATGCTGAGACATGATTCAGAAGATGATGCTTGTATGGCAATCTTCTGCAGTTCAAGGATGTTGAATTCACGGTATCTTTCTTGGAGCTGTTGCTTTTCGTCCCAGAGCCATCGTCCACTGGTATATCGGAAGAAATCTTGTGGGTTTCCGATGATGTTAGACAGAGGAGGTTGGGAGTGATGTTGATGGGAATGATGTCGGCTCGAGAGGGGTGCTGGAAGTATCTTTCTCGGCCATATTGCTAGGGTATTCCGGATCGCCCTGAATGGGGGCGAAGATATGCGCATGTTTATCATAACGGTTATGGGATCAATAAAGTAGCAGATCACAAGGGCGTAGTGTAAACATTCTTGTTCGAGTGATCGGGGCATTAGTCATCCATTTAATGCATGGTGCGATAGATACTTTCTTATTCATATGGTATTGGTTTTGCAGCAGATTAGTACTGAGGTGTATCTGTACGTGGATATTGTTTTGGTCATGGATACTAGTGTACTTCTTGATTTATGGTGCATTAGTCTCAGATTGAACACAATTCTGACAAAGTACTTCAATATCAATATATTGATGCATTGTAAATATACTGACTATATAGCAGCTCTACATGATACAAAGCAGAAATAACTTCTGATTATACTCTACCTCCATGAATTATCCCACCCAGCCTGCTCGACAACGAATGCGATAGCCAGTTCGGAGAACCGAGCCATGTGCTAGCAAATCGTCAGCAAGATATGGACAGTGGGAATGCGGTCAACTTACTTCGATAGAGAAGACGCCCGTTTCATCGTCAACGTCCATCCTATCCTTGATGCCGTGAACGTAGGGGTCCATTTCACCCGGGAAAGAACCCCCAGCGAGCGGGTTGCCTTCAGAAGCAAAGGCAGCGGGGTAGTTGAGCTTGGTGTAGGACATGTAGTCGGATCCAGCGTTGCTAATAAGCCAATTAGCACTTGTCGTGTCTCTGGGGATCCTTTGGGGTCTTACGGGCCAAGTTCATAGACTTCCGCTGGAATGGAGATGTATTCCCGACTGAGATTGACGGTCCAGTTTGTGAGCGCTGCATCAGCTTGGGTTGCAACAAAGCCGATGGTCTCGGCGGCATTACGGGCAATAAAAGCCGTCATATCCTTTGCAGATGTTAATATTGAAAAACGGAAGAACAAAATGTTGGAAGACATACAAACTCCATCATGGCACCAATCTTAGCACCCTGCTCCTTCTTATACCGCGCAATGGCTTGACTGCCCAGTAGCCCGCCCTCTTCAGCTGCATACCAGTGAAATTCCACAGGCCCATCCTTGGGCGTGTAACCATTCTCAGCCAGAATGCGGAAAGCCTCGAGGATACTGACAGTGCCGGAGCAGTCATCATCAGCGCCAGGCGCAGGCAACAGCGGGAAGAGATAGTTGGCCGAATCTTGGTGCGCGCCAATGATGGTCAAAGGTTGAGAGAAGCTGCGGACTTTAGGCTCGAAGCGTGCGATAATTGAAGATTGGGGGAAAGGGTGGGTGAAGTATTCGAGAGAGATGTGGGTGCGGAAAGGCGAGTTGGAGATGATCTTGGTTCAGTAAGTTCATGCCCAAGGATCGTGGCTGTAGGGGAGGAAATACCTCAGCAATATGGTCGTGCAGCCATTCAGAGCTCTGTTCGCCGTGAAAGTCGCCGTAGTATCGGTTGTAGTAGGAGGTCATGTGCTGCAGGACATCGTGCATCCGTTGCGTCTCAATTTGAGAGAACAACGGCTTCACGAGACCTTTATGGGACAGCTTGGGAAGGTCTGAGGGCGTTAGTCTAACAAGAATTACTGTGCCAAGAAGAAAGACTTACTGGGATCCCCAGAAACTGAAGCCATCGCTTGCTCCGCGTAAAAGTCCTGATGATCGGTGATGTCTATGAACTTCTGACCGCGTTGGCGGAGGCGCAACTTGTCGCCTTCAGTCATCCATTCCGCCTTCTGTTCGCCCCGAATGTGCAAGAGACGAGGTTCAGCCAGAAGAGCTGCAGTTTCAGGACGTAAAGACACCATCGCAGCAACTGGGTCGGAATAAGTGTTCAAGGCCGAGACGATGGCCTCGTCCACGACGTGTTCGCCGAGTGTAGTCTTTGGGACCTCGCGATCCGCGGCGAAAACTACTTGCGAGTCTGGCTGCGGGTGCGGGGAAGCCAAAGCTCCTGCAGTGCTCCAGAGGAGCAAAAGATGGGATGTCCTCATGATAACAACCAAGTTGCTGCGGATATTCAGGTGCTGGATTACGGTGGTGTGAGCTGTGAAGTGTTGAGTCACTTGGGTGAGGCTTGTGGAGGAAGAGGAGAGATAAGAGGGTAAATAAGCTCTCCGGCGGCAAGGGACAAAGCAGGCAACGGTCGGGCCTGGCTAGCGCCCGCCGGAGTCCGGAACCACGCTATTTGCTGGGGGGCAGCCTGAATTTTGGGGAAGTTTGGTGCCTGTCATTTCAATTGCCAGCCATAAATGTGGTTCCTTATCGGTGGATCCAACCTTCAAGAGTCAATAATGCCACCATCTGGCGAAATCACCTTGTCGAAGTGACTCATGCTTTACGGATTGAGTTGCTTGATTTCAGCATAAGCACTAGTTGTGTCAATAGTGTCATATGAGAATGCTTGTGGCTCGAGCGTTTTGACTACTCCGTACCATTGATCGCTTTATCTTGCCGTCTCCTTGCTGCAACCTCTCAAGTGACTGACAGCTACTGACTATACTATAGAATTGTGATAGGTTATAATTTACATGGAATGAGACATAATGTCGCTCCAAAATCACCAAATGGCTCTAGTTATCAGCCTAGTGAAAGCTGTGCACATACTCTCAGTTGCTCGGCAGACCGATCGTGTGTGAGAAATGCTTTGCTTTCTGTAATTGCACAGACATGAGGATTGCCAGCAAATATTCGTTGATTCAATCACGAACCTTGGAAACCTATAGCAAGCTTCAAATGTCTGAGAAGGGGCCTGCTAATTGAACTTCGTGCTCGTGCAATTGTGAAATCCATCGCGACACATCTTATCGCCCAAGATGAACCAACAGGGAACTCTCCTCTCGCCAATACACTACACTGGCTGAAGGGGTCTTGGAATGAGGTCAGCTCGAACAAAGAGATCGCTGCAACTAACCACTACACAGCATGAACCAGCAAAATCCCGATAGTAGAAGGCATTGCACAAGGTCTCGGCCCCTCTACTCCACACTACTCTGCTTTTCATGCCATGGTCATCTACTACTGTAACAGAACGTATTGAAGGCTTGCCAAAGTCACAGTCGATCGAAAATTGCTCAACCTTAGTCACCGTCACTGATATTACTGATTTTTCTCCAGATACAGCAGTGAGAAAACTGACTTTCCCGGATGTTGATAGCGTCATTCATAAAAAGCAGAACACATAAACACGGAAGCAGTGGATCTTCACCTTGTTGTGTTGAGATGCCGTTTGAAGCCCAATGGGTACCACAGTTGGCTGAGCTGGAGCCATGGGACTGACAGCAGCGAGTGGAACTGCTGGCCGCATCCTCGGCAGCCAAATCCCGCCTTCCATTAATTACACCCTGGACACTACCATCCCTTCTCAACTTTCATACACAGCCTCACTCGTTTCGCCTGTTGCAATATCTACTTTTACTGTTAAGTGGACCCGACAGGTTGAGTTTCATCTGGCGGGTGGAGAGACTAACAGAAGCTAAGGGTAGTGCCTCTTCTCCCCTCCGATCGGCCCCTCTCTTTCTCGCTGCTGAACCTCCCCGATCTCTCACCGCATCCAGGGGCTGGGGAGCATTGAGCAATTGCTGCCCGTCTTATTCCCGACCTTCATCTGTGCTTCCTGCTCTTATTATCCTTGACTCGTCATGTCGCGAATGTGGGAGGTCGATCCGGAGACGAGGGCCAAGGTATGCCATCGTCACCCCTCCATCTCCTGTTTCTGCCACTGTCCCCGTGTCGACGTCGGAGCCTGGACAACACACGCTGACTTCCCCGGATCTGCTCTCCCCCTCTAGCTCCTCCAATTCTCCAAAACCAATGGCAACGATAAATGCTGCGACTGCGGCGCCCCTTCGCCTCAATGGGTATGAGTCCTCCATCCTCAGACGTGCGCGGCACTCTCGCCACGATTCGCGCAACCGTACCTACCGACAATACGCCCACATACAACCGTCACTGACACACACTTTACACACAGGCATCCCCTAAGTTCGGTACCTTCATCTGCTTGAACTGCGCCGGCACCCACCGCGGCCTAGGTGTTCACATCTCCTTCGTCCGCTCTATCACCATGGACGCCTTCAAGACTTCCGAGATTCTCCGCATGGAGCACGGTGGCAACGAGCCGTGGAAGGATTTCTTCGATTCCCATCCCATCACGCAATCCGAAGGTCGCACATTCGAAGACTCCACCATAAAAGAGAGATACGAGGGCGAGGTGGGCGAGGAGTGGAAGGAGAGACTGGCTGCGAAAGCCGAAGGAAGAGAATACGTTCCGGGCCAACCCAAACCGCAGCAACCGAAGAATAAGGAACCGACATCTCGGTCGAGCACGCCCCTCGTTGCCCGGACCGGATCCCCAGCATCGCACGACGGAGTACCGGAGATGAGCAAGAAGGAACGCAACGAGGCGTATTTTGCTCGACTGGGTAACGAAAACTCCTCGCGTTCGGAATCGGTACCTCCATCGCAGGGAGGCAAGTTTACCGGATTTGGGGGCGGAATGCCGGTTACAAACACGCCCAAACAGTCAGGTAGCGGGGCGGCAATTCCAGGATTCGATGATTTCCAGAAGGATCCCATGGGTGCGTTGACGAAGGGCTTCGGATGGTTTGCAACGACTGTAGGGAAGAGCGCGAAGACAGTCAATGACTCGTACATCCAGCCTACTGCGAAGACGGTACACTCCCATCCATTCTTCATTTCCATTCGCTATGTGCCAGTAACTGATGACTTCTTCCATCATTTAGATAGCAGAATCCGACCTTGCAGCACAAGCGCGCGTTCACGCCGCCACCCTCGGCCAAAACATGCAACACGGCGTCCGTGGCGCAGCGGACCATTTCCATCGTTTCGTGGAAGGACCCGACGAAGCTGCAGCTGCAGCCGCGGCACGGAGAGGCCGTGTTGAACCGGAAAGAAAGGACTTTTGGGACTCATTCTCTTCGGTCGCAGCGCAGGATAACCACCGCAGAACCGCATCCAGGTCGAGTGCCATTGGCACTGCGGCGATGAAGACGGGGCCTAGTGGTGCTGGCGCTTCTTCGACTTCGTCTGCAGCTGCGTCGTCT